TGTTAACAAGAAACTGTGAAAAACTGCAATTTCTGTCAAAATCTGTGTTATGAGTTGATACATACAGTTATGAGTCGACTCATATCAAAAATATTATAAAAATAGAAAGCAAGACTTGGTTTCAGATCGACGCATCAAGGTTTGCGTCGACACATATTCCTTCTCGTCGACTCATAGAGATCTTGTTTCGATACAAAACGTTTAAAAAAAGTAAAATTGTTCTTTCACACAGGATGTGTCGACACATACTAATTTCGTGTCGACACATAAGAGTAATAAATGCCATTAATTTGAATTATACCTAACCACCTACCCATCCCTCCAACTATCCGTATCATCACATACAAGCCTCCAACCCTAATAATTCTTCGCCACTCTCATAACTCTTTCATCTTAAAAAAAACAATACCTTATACTCATACTCTTAACAACCATTCTTCTACAACCAAGCATGCCTCCAAAAACAAAAGGGAAGGGAAAATTGGCTGCTGGAAAATTTGAATCTGTCCCAGATATCCTTCTAAGCGCCTTATCTATCATGCATCCCACCGTCACATATGAATTTGAGTAGTCCTTTGAAAAAAGGTTAGTTATGAAACCTCATATCTTTGATAAGGCTGAGGTTCTATCCCTCCATATCACAGATGTCTGTGATATACTAGATGCTCAACAACTAGGATCATTTCTTAACATTAGAGAATACTACCATGAAGACTTTATACGAGCTTTTTATGCTAGATTAGAAACAAATAAGGGCTGGTGCTTTAAAGTCAAAATCGGGACAAGAATATATGTTTTTGAAGCCATTGATTGGCAGAGCATTTTTGGCATTCCTTTTGGAAGGTCAATAATGAAAAGCTTCTATGACCAAAGTTTTGATACCAACTATGATGAAGAAGCTTTCATAAACTCAATCCTAAAACTTGATCGACCTCTAGGCGAGTTTGAGCCGATAACCTCCGGCAATATCAAAAGAATTCCTAGAATGCTTCACTGGATAACCTCACATATATTGCATCCAAGATCCGGTGGCAACTCTCGGCTAGACAGGTCAGATATCCATCTTCTGCATATTTGGCTAGATAGGGTTCCCCTAAACTGGCCAAACTACTTTGTCAAATGCATGTTCCTTATGTGAAACAGCCAGAAGAACAATGCACTTGGATATTCGGCTCAAATTATGAGAATTATCAAGTTCTGGAACCATGTTATCCCACCTGTTTCTCTCATCTCTCCTACTGTTGCCCAAGAGTTTAATAAGACTACTTTATCTCACATGGGATACATATGGGATAAAAACCGTCAATGACTTTATTTTAAGGAAAAAGGGTCAAATGTAAGGGTATATAACTTTTACATCCCCTCTGAACATATCTATAAGGACGAGGACCCCATTGATGCTGACATGCCAGATATCAATGAAAATGTCCAACCTAAAGCAAATCAGGCTGGAACTGGTGGAGGTGAGTGGGTGCCAAACCGTTGGTCTCCAATAAATTATCAATTTGATCAAACAGCACAACCTCATGGTGCTCCCACTGCTGCAGTAGGTTCTTCCTCGGAAGCTCCTGCTTACCTCACCGCCATGTTTCAGTAAATGCATGTTGCAAATGATTCTCGCCATGAAGAAGCGAGATAGTGGCACAACCAGCAAAATGAATGGCACAAAGAACATGAGCAATGGCATGATGAGCACACACGGATGTACCAAAATCAACATTCGTGGCACTTAGATTTGGTCAAATGGCACCAGGTGTTTTACAATGAGATGACAAGTTTCATGGACGACTGCCGTTAAAATCCTGGAATCATGGAAAATTTCAGAAATGTCGACATCCAGAACAGGTTTCGACGATATCAGTTCATGACTCAGAATCCTGACATCAATCCATCTCCACCGTCTCCTCCACCATACAACTATGACGAATCCTATGATGGGAATAATCCCTAATCTATATCTTCATGTCATGCATTACATACCATTAACTCATGCCTTTTTTTTCTTTCAAGTGGTTGTATTAATGTCTCCTTCAAACATTCTATTTTGCTTATGTAATCTAACTTTTATCTGCAAATTAATTACTTTAAACTTGATCACTTTCTGTTTACTCTATTATTTACTCAATTATCGATAACTTTATGCCAAGACATTCTGTGTGAATGCCAAGACAATTATTTGCTGAAATTATATATCAATTTCCTTATGTGCTAAGATTACTGAAAATATTGCTTATTCTCTTTTTGATGTGATCAAAGGGGGAGAAGAAGAGTGTGTTAGTGAAGATTATGTTTTTTTTAGAAAGAAGATGCACAAACTCAGGGGGGAAAGCTTATTCACCATACATCACCACACATGATCAGATATTTGCCATCATCAAAAAGGTGGAGTTTGTGAGCAACTCCTTCAGAATTGATTTTTGAATGATTGCAAATATATGTGAAATACTAAATACATGTGTGCACTACAAAAATATAATATAACATGTTTAAATAAGCTAAAAATGTATTTTACTCATAATGCATCATTATGAGTCGACACAACAGGTTTTGTATCAATACATAACTTACTGGAGTCCCTGGAATACTATTTCAAAACTATTATGCGTCGATACAAAATCTTATGCATTGGCATATAACATTTTGATGCCCCTGTAATACAAACATAAACTTGTATGCATCAACATAAAACCTCGTGCATCGACACATAACACTTTTGATTCCCCTGTAATACATTCTTGAACTTGTATGCACCGACACAAAACCTCATGTATCGACACATAACATTCTGATGCCCCTGGAAAACATTTTTGAACTTATATGTCTCGATACATAATATCATGTGTCGACTCATACTATGTTTTATGTTCAAAATTTAAAATTACAATCAATATGTATCGACACATACGTGTTATGTGTCGACGGATATAAAATTGTTGGTTCTGTAAAATTTTATAATATGATTTTGCATCGACTCAAAACACAATGTGTCGATGCATCTTGTCACTCATAACTAACATGATTCGACACATGACCAACATGCATCGACTCATAATACTTTCTTTTTTGGCTAACCGTTTTCTGTTATAAATATAAGCAAGCATTTTTCTTAACAAAGAATATATAGCAACATATTTGAATTCTGTGCAAATTTTTTGAGCAACCAGAAGCCTAAAGAAACTTCATCTTCATCATCTTCACAACCATCTTCAATTCAACAACAACAAAGAAAATCAAACATCCTTATTGAAGTGAATCAAGCAGTCAGAGATAACGTTCATCTGTGTATTGAAAGAATCTCAACTAAGTTGAAGGTTGAAGAGGAGGCTTCAAGAAATAAACCAAAGGGTTTGTCCTTCAAGAACGGGTTAGTTCTTGAGGGTTTTCTTAGCCACGGTCGCACAAGTCAGATTCAGCCGTAGCGAGGGGTTTGGAAATTGGAAGGATTTTAACAAATAGGTCGTGATAACGGAGGATCGTTTGTGGACCTTGCAGGAAATCTTGATAAATCTCATATCAAGTGGTGGTTCTTATCAAGTGGTGGTTCTTGCAGGAAACTTTGTTGAATTTAACAAACAGGTAGTGGAAGCGAAGGATCGTTTGTGAAACTTTCTCATTTATGTAAGGCTCAAAGTTGTCTATCTTAGCTACTAGTTATCATACACCAATTTTTGACCTAAGATCCCACCTCTATTTTTGCATTTTTGTTATATACATCAAGATCATGAAATAACTCCGGTTTCGAACGTTTCACCATCGAGCATTACCTGTGCAGAGATTTTAGAGTGTTGCGAGCATTTTATCTTATGCATGACTAACTTCTAATCAAGCACAAAGTGTATTTTTTTGTGTTTCTTTGATTTCATGTGTAGAAACAGGTCTGAATCAAGAGCATCAGGCGTCACACTTCAATTAGGGTTTTTAGCCTCTCAAGCCAGAAGTACAGTTAATCGTTGATTCTCAAAGACTGATTCATCAAGAGAGTCGTATGTTTTCTTCCACACTATGTTTCAACAAGTGGCCTCAAGCGTCTCCTCTAAGAAAAAGAACAGTCAAAGTTCCATGATTATTGGTTCATGTGTGTTTTACCTTTGCCTTGAAATACAAGAAAAATCAAGCTATGCAAGTCAATTCCAAATGCTTCGACCAAAAATCATATGCAGATTTTATTTAAAGAGTTGAAGACAATTGTGTTTAGAAAGCCATGAGAAGACTTTATGAGACGTCTATCATGATTTAAGAATTTATGGATCTCTAAGTTCAGTTCATTGTGCGAATTTCTCAATGTGGTAATATTTTACTTCAAATTCCTTTTCTAATGATTATTCGAAGCTTTTAAGTCTGGTTCTATTTCTTATACTTACATGATGCGGGTTGAATTTCGTTAAAGTGGGTTTATTAAATTCAAGATCCCTTTGGCAGAATTTATTCGAAATACTTTGAATTTTCATCATGTGAATTCAAGTGATAAGTAAATAGAAGTTGTCAAAAGATCTCATTCAAGAATAATCGTTCATCGCATTAAACATTTATTCAAGATTATTTTTGTGTGACTATTTTGATGAATTCATATCATGGCCATTTGAATTCACACGAGGCATTTATTCAAGAAGATATTGGAAAAAGAAATTCGATTCAAATAATCGTTCATCACAAGATTAATTACATGATGGTTGCTATTTTATTACAAGATTAATTCATGGAATTTATTTGGATCTCTATTACAAAATGCAAGATTGAAGTCTTAAGGCTTGCATTATTATTTATTCATCATTCTACAATTCATCCAAGTATTATTAAATTCTTTTCCAATTCAAATGGAGTATTTTGAATTTCATCAAGATGAATATAAGATTCAAAGTTTATAAAGATCCAAATATTTACAATTACAAAGGAATTGAGAATTATATTGAAGAATAAGTACTCATTCATGTTACAATTTATTTGGATTAATCATTACAAGATTACAAGGGATTACAAGTTTGTACATGAAAATCAAACTATTATTTCTTGCTCCAATAGCAGCCCAATGCTGCCCATTTTTCTAGCCTTGTTTCAACATAAACCAGTCCAATTTTTAGGTATTCTGCTGTCCAAAAATAGCAGTAGAAAACAGTCCCAACGCTGTTCATCTTTTCCAGCCTTGTTTCAACATAAACCAGTCCATTTGTTGTGGTATTTTGCTGTCAAAAAGCTGTTGTAAATCATTCCAAAACAACCTGCAAATCAGTCCAAAACAGCATGCAAATCAGTCCAAAACTGCTCTATACAGTCTGCTCCAACTTGCATTATTACAGCCAAAATTTTGCATCAAAATGGCTAATGAAAATTGTGTGAAAAAAGAATCAAACAGTAGGCCGAAACAATTCAAAAAACTTATCAGTTTTGCCTCCAATTCTCACTCTAATGTGCCTATAAAAGGGACCTTGTATGAAGAGGTAAAAGGAGGACAAAAAAAATCTGAAACACAACGAAAATCAGAAAAAAAAAACACATAGAAAAATTCAAAGGAGAAGAACAACAAAAAAAACCCAGTAGAGGGGAAGAAATCTGGAAAAAAAAACAAGAAAGCCCAGAAAGAGGAAAACTTACTGTTTGGAAGCTCCATCGGAGAGACTCCGATAGGTATTTTTTTCTTGCTCTGTATTTACTTCCACGTACTTTTCTCATTCACATGTTTGAATCTTCTTCTACACCAATTTCATTCCATGATATCACTTGATTTATCCCTTTTGATGTATTTTTGAATTGGTTCAACGTATTGTCATCTGGAAAATGTTAGGATAATAACAATAACAGAAGACAGAAACATTTAATAATGACATAAATTTTGAGATAAATATACCTTCTTTTTCTCCGCTCAAATTTATTCCCCCTGGATTAGCAAAACCTGTGAGAATACCCCCAATACTACTGTTCCACCTCCAGCTCAAAGTGCACATAGAACTTACAGTTCAATTAGCCCTTGAACAATATCATACCCATCTTCTCAGTAGACTTACGCTCAACAACTAGCATCTAACAATGCAGTTTACGGTTACTAAGCGCCCCAAAATCCTGCTTACAGCAGCAGGGCTGCACAAGCATATAGTGCAGCACCAACTATGCAGCCAAGTTTTGTTCAATCGACACAACTAAGGCTAGTTACGACCAATCTAACCCACAACCAACAATTTTTGCAGCTATACCCATAGCAGGAATAACACCGGTTGCGTATGGCAGGACAATATTACCTCAGCCTGTTTATCCCCAATCCTCCTCATATAGATCAAACTACTTACCCTTAGAAAAATCACTCCAACCTCTAGCCTTTACTCTGAATATCCATTGAAATCACACACAAATTCAACAAAAAAACTTTTATCTTCCCTTTGCTCATACCGACAATCATCACATAAACCTTCAGCAATATTGGTGTCGGCTTCATCTTTCTCTTCCATTTTCTTTGTAACTTTTCTCAAATCAAACATCATAATTTTATTGACACATGAGAACAAAACTTACCCATTAGAGAACCCGCGAGGGTTATTAGAGGCAATCTTCAACAATATCTGTAGTGTTTCTAAATGTGCTGCACGAATGGGTCAAGTGTTCAGTTCTTCCCGACAAACTTTTAAAAATGGCCCCTCAAGATGTGGATTTAATTCCAGATATTGAAATCACCTTTGATGGTATAAACTACTATTTCTCAGATGGTATTGGAAAGATTTCCCAAACTTTTACACGACAACTTGCTCAAAAGCATATTGGACCAAAACCAGATTCCTTTTGCATTTCAAATTCGGTATGGTAGATATAAAGGTGTCATTGCTGTTGATTCCCATTCTTTTAGGAAGTTATCATTGCGTAATAGTATGTTGAAGTTTGAATCCAAAAAAATATATGCTTTATGTCACCAAATGTAGTGAATTAATGTCGTGCTTTCTTAATTGAGAGATTATATCCCTGTTGTCCACATTGGGAGTAAAGATGAGGCGCTTCTGGAATTGCAAGAGGATCAATTACAGTTGCTAGGAAAGATGTTGAATAATAACGATGCGAGGCTTCCTACCAAATTATTTGGATGAAGAGGATGCATATGCTGAGACGACTGCTTAGAAAGTACAGGGAGGCGAGGAAAATTAACAAACACGTGTACCATGATATGTACATGAAGGTGAAAGGTAATGTTTTCAAGAACAAGAGAGTCTTGATAGAGAGCCACTGTACAAATCCAAAGAGAAAGAGGGGATTCAGAGAATTGGAGCAGAAGTGTTTGAGAAGGAGGTTGTGTTGTTGGTGTTGTACGATGAAAGAAGAAGAGAGCAAGAGGTTGAGAGATGCAATTTGTGGGGAAGTGAGATTTTGTTTAATTGTATTTTACCGTAAAACATAGAGATCAGATTTTTTCAATTATAATAATTTAATCAGTCTTGTCTTCCCAAGAAAGTATTGCGGCGCGCCTTTGCTTCATTTTAGGTTTTCAATTTTCAAACTCACACCTTTTAAGTTAAAACTTTGACACTAGGTCGTCGTATCTTCAAATAATTTTTAGCCAAACCAACCATTTTTACCAAACAAACCATTTTAATCAAACAAACAAATTTAATAAAAAAACATATATTTCAAAAGGTTCATGTGGAGTATCGCAGATGCATTGGGTGTTAATACCTTCCCATTTCATAACTAACCCACGAACTCTAGATCTCTTTTGAAAAAACACATTGTATTTTCATTACTTTTTAAGTATTACTTTACATTGCATATTTAAGGGTTTTATTTTTCTCTTTTCCCTTTTCCCTTGGAAATAATAAAGCGTGGTGGCGACTCTTGCTTTTGTAAGACTTGTTAATTAATAGCTCAATCTCCGATTTACCCTGCTACATTTTTCATCGCTACAAAATTGGCGACTCTGTTGGGGAAAGATTGACCTCTTGCTGGTCCATCACTAAGTGGGTTAAGCCTAGTTTGTCTTACCTATTTTTATTATTATTTGTTTTATTGTTTGATTATATGTTATATATTATGTGGTTATTTGGGTATTGATGATATTTACAAAGGACAAGTCCTATACCCAGACTATGTTACACTTAGGAATAGGACGGGAGGTATAGTCATATTAACTTTGAGGGAGTAATCCCGAAGAAGGAAGCATGAAATACCCCACTCACTGGAAGCCCCTTTGACTGTAGTATTCATTTACCAAGTAATCGAGAAGATGTTATTGCTTTCGACCTGGGATCCATAGAAGCTAAGAACCATAGAAACCTTAACCCATCTTGGCCTCTTAGGTGTAGTGCAAAGACTATAACAGAGTAATCCGGAAGTATTTGTCACGCGATGCTACACTCAGATGAGTTTCTCTTGTGAATATTGCTAATTATCGAGTAATTGAGACGTTGGTAATACCCGAAGGAGGATCGTAGACTTTGGGAACCTTTGGAAGCTTGTTTTACAGGTGTGATTAAACCTTTAGTACATACCTTGGGGTGGGCTTTACCTTTGACTCCATGCTCGAAGCGTTGAACCTTTGAACCCCATGTTTGTGAACTTATGTGTAATTATTGCATTATCATTCATTCATGCATCCATAAGCATTTTTTAAAGATGTTTTTCAAGGAACTTAAGAATGACTTTTGCAGACATCTCAAGTACTGTTACTATGGATTTTGGAAAAAGAAACACTCAGAGTTATAGTTTTAAGGAGCCTGAGATTGAAGAGCTGAAGAGTTTGATTCCCAAGATTGAGAACCCTATGGAGTTTCGAAAGAATTATGGATCTATTATTCCTCTTTGAAGTGAAAGATGAAGGAAGGTATCCTTACTATGTTGGTCCCGTTCTATGATCCGCTGTATCGATTCTTCACTTTTCCTGATTACCAGTTGTTTCCCACTTTGGAGGAGTATTCTTATATACTTGGTTTTCCAATCACTGGCAGTGTTCCTTTCTCTGGTTTAGAAGGGGAGCCCAAATCTCATGAGATAGCAACAATTACCCACTTGAGGAAGTCTGAGATAGAAGATAACATGACTACTAAGGGAGGAATCCGAGGCTTACCTACACTATTTTTATTGAAGAAAGCTCGTGACTTCGCTGAGATAAAGGATATTGTCGCCTTTGAAGATGTCTTTGCTTTACTTGCTTATAGGTTGTTCTTTTTGCCTAACATCAATAAGTTCATGGAAATCAACACTATTAGAATCTTCTTGATTGGAAATCCGGTCCCTAGCTTCTAGGAGACACCTTCTATTCAATCCATCTTCGGAATTCTTACGAAGGTGGGATGATTATCTGTTGTGCACCATTGGTATACCAGTGGTATGTTTCTCATTTACCTAGGTCTGATGTTTTCTGGGATCTCAAGAAGGAGCCACGATGGGCGCCAAAAATTATGACTCTTACTTATTCCGACATAGATTGATATAATCAAGCTTACTATGATGTGAAGATCATTGATAGTTGTGGTGTTTTTCCCAACGTGCCTCTTCTTGGTACAAGGGGAGGAATTAACTATAATCATGTTCTTGCGCGCCACCAGTTTGGATACCCAATGAAGGACAAGCCAAATAACATTCACCTGAGTGGTTTCTTTCTCCAAGAAGGAAAAGATCACAAAGCAGCTAAGGAGGAGATTGAAAGGGCTTGGTGCCATATCCATAAGAAGGGAAGAGACATGTTAGGACAAAGAGGTGTTGTTTCTTTGGAGCCTTACCTTCAATGGGTTTGTGCTAGGGCTTATGTTCTCAAGATTCCTTATTATCCCGACAAACCTTTATTCCCTATTGCTACATCATCATCTATTGCCATTCCTATTGAGAACATGAGAGAGTATCAGGAAAATCTGGCTAGAAAGGAGTCTGAAAGAGATGCTTGGAAGGAAAAGTGTAGTATGTCTAAATATGATAATAGGGTCCTTACTCGATAGCTGAAGGAGAAGGAGGATATGCTATTTATACAAGATGGTTGGTTTATTGATTATGATGAGAAGCTTCGTCAGAAAGATGCATTGTTCAAGAAATATGCTAAGGAAAAGAAGATAAAGAAGGAAGATTTGGTAGGCGTAACTCCCGTTCCTAATCCATGGAAGAAATTCATTGATCAGTTGGTAGCCGAGAAGACAGAGATGGAAGACTTATATGAGAAGAATATTAGGAAGCTCAAGTTACAAGTAGCATTTGGTCCTTCGTCCGATGATGATTCTGAGTGATCTTAGTTCCTAGTTTTTTATTACTTATGTCATTTTATAAAACTCTTTAAGAAGGCTTTATGTTCCAAAGTTGTAATTTACTGCTTTTATTAATGAAATGAGATTTGTTGTTCCATAGTTCTTTACCATTTATGTGTGCAAAGTTATCAAAGTTCTAAAGTTCCTTGAAAAAACTATCAAAATAAATAATCATTTGCATCGCATATCATGCATCATCCAACATTCAATTTCACATGTTTTCTAGAGTCTTATTCTTGTTTCTTTTTCCACTCCGATAGATCGTCAAGATGTTTCACCGGTATAATACTCGAGCCAATCGTCGAAAGAGAATGGAAAATCTAGAGCAAGAAAATCATGAGCTTCGCGAGGAGGTTACTACTCTTCATACTGGAATGAAAGAGTTGACTGCTTTGGTGGAAAGCTTGATGGCTGCTCAGAATCAGCCATCAGCTTTGGCCACTAAGACTCAAGCTTAAACTATTATGGTTTTCGATATCACCACTGCTCCAACATCTTTGGCTCAAGTTAACTCTCTGGAACGTCAAATGCCGAAAGGTTTTCCATGGGGTATGCCTTACAATTTCACGCCAGAAGGGTACCATCTTGCTGTGCAACCCATGATTCAACCTGTTGTGTCCTTTCCTCAACCTGAGATGACTACTGTGCAACCTGTGATCCAGCCTATGGTATCTTTCCCTCAGCCTGTAATGACTACTGCCGCCCCCATGATTCACATTATTCCATATACAAATGAACCCATTTATCATGCTGAACCTACTGAAAGTTTGGGCATCTTCAATAGGATGGAGGATTTCCAAGACCAATTTCAAGAAATGCAGAGGGAAATTAGAGCACTTAAAGGGAAAGATTTGTTCGGGAAAAATGCTCATGATTTGTGTTTGGTCCCAAACGTGAAAATTCCATCTAAGCTCAAAGTTCCAGACTTTGAAAAATACAAAGGTGATCCATGTATGCAAAGTCATTTGACCATGTATGTAAGGAATATGTCCACCTACTCTGATGATCACAAGTTATTAATTCATTACTTCCAGGACAGCTTAACTGGTGCCGCACTGAAATGGTACATGGGCTTGGATAGCACCCAAATCCGCAATTTCAATGACCTCAGTGAGGATTTTGTTCGTCAATATAATTTTAATGTCGACATGGCTCCGGATCGAGATTAACTCCGAGATATGTCCCAGAAGGATAGAGAATATTTTAAAGAATATGCCCAAAGGTTGCGTGAGATT